GAAGGGAAAGCTTCAGCAGCATGGAGAGGATCTGGTTTCAGGTGGTGAGGAAGGAGGTAGTCAGAGTAGAACATTCCCCTCCCATGAAAATAGCAAAGAGGAGAAATGTTTTTCAAACTAATTCTTTTTAGGCTGATGGTGCCCTCTGCTGGCTAGTAGGAGGAGGCTTAACCAAAGTGAAATTCCCAGCCGTGAGAATTACTGAGCTCTCTGACAGAGATGGGAGGGCACAAGCTACTCGTCCCAAAGTTCAAGGGTATTTGGGTCCCAGCTGTTCATTCAATATAGTCAGAGTCTGGGTCCAAAATGCCTGCAAGTTCCCAGGGTTTCAGATCCAGGCTTATGGCTCAGTCCCATCTCTTGGGGGTAGGTAGGGTAGATCCAGGCAGGGCCTTGCCAGTTTTGCTGGTACACAACATCAATGCCTCAGTGAGCTGTAGCTCACGAAAGCTCATGCTCAAATAAATTGGTTAGTCTCTAAGGTGCCACAAGTACTCCTTTTCTTTTTGCGAATACAGACTAACACGGCTGTTCCTCTGAAACATGTTAGACATGGCCATTATTTTAGTAAGCCATGGGGAACTGGATCCACTTTCATCCAGTCTCTCTTGGGCATTTCCAAGGCACTTACCTCACTGGGACCTGTGGGGATTTGACACTGGTGTCTGGGAGTCATTGTTTATCAGGACATGACATTGAATTCCCAAGTTGTGTGGATCTGGGACCCCATGCTTCATAGAGGACTCTGCGAGCTGGCGGCAGGCTGCAGGGGGAAAGGCCCAGAGAGTGCTGGAAAAAGATGCAATGTCTGTCTAGTGCAGTGATTCTAAATCAGGGTTATATACCCCTGGGGGTACACAGAGGTCTTCCATGGGGTACGTCAACTGATCTAGATATTTGCCTAGCTTAACAGGCTACATAAAAAGCACTAGCGAAGTCAGTGCAAACTAAAATTTCATACAAATGACTTGTTTATACTGCTCTCTATACTATACACTGAAAAAACAAGTACAAATATTTATATTTCAATTGATTTATGTTATAATTACAGGTGAGTCGCATCATACATGCATTTAACTTACACGAATTCATGTATATGCACTTAGCAAAGAAAGCTAACAAAAGACACCTGTAAATAGTGTGGGCGATTCCGCCCACCATTCCACTCAATAAGCATATGCCTCGGAGTGAGCGTGAGATGGGAGACGTGAATCTGCTGTTCCCGCAGTCGGTCTCGGTCCCATGTGCCTATCATAGTGTGAGCATCTCGCCATGCTGAGTGTGATTCTAGTGTTTACAGATACTGTATGTATTTTTTATAGAACATGGCCCCTAAACACAAACCAACTACTTCATCTGGTGCGCAACTGAAGAAACAGCGATCTGTTCCAACGCTGGAGGAAAAACTGACTGTGTTGGATTTATTGAGAGACGGTATGTCGGTCTCCAACGCAGCGCGTAAATATGGTCACACCGAATCTAGCATCCGTGCCATCAAGATTCGAGAGAGAGAAATTCGCCAAGTCGCAGCATCAAGTGCTCCAGTAACTGCTAAAGTGACGAGCCAGGTGCGTGATAAGACTTTAGTGAAGACTGAAAAGACATTAAACTTATGGCTGGAAGACATGAACTGTAAACGTGTGCCTATCAATGGCAACACGTTGTGAGAAAAGGCTCTTAGCCTCTACGCGCTGTTCAAACCTCCCGCTGAAGAGGAACAGCCTTCTGATGAGAAGGAATTCAAAGCCAGCCAAGGTTGGCTTAACAGTTTTAGGAACCGCTTCAACCTCAAAAACGTGCAGACTACTGGTGAAGCTGCATCTGCCAATGAAGAGGCAGCAAAAGCCTACCCCGAACAATTAAAGAAAGTCATAGAAGAAAAGGGCTATCTTCCGGAACAAGTTTTTAATGCTGACGAGACTGGGAGCTTCTGGGAAAAAATGCCCAACCGCACTTACACTTCAAAATCAGAAAGACAAGCCCCTGGCTTCAAAGCAGCTAAAGACTGTGTGACTATGTTGTTTTGTGGCAATGCGGCTGGGCATTTAATAAAGCCAGGCTTGCTCTGCAGGGCTGAAAATCCCTGTGCCCTAAAAGGCAAGAACAAAGATCTCCTGCCTGTGTTCTGGCAATCAGATAAAAAGGTTTGGGTGATGGCTGCATTATTTCTGGATTGGTTCCCCAAGTGTTTCATTCTGGAGGTCAAGCGGTACCTCAGAGAGAAAGGACTTGACTTTAAAGTGTTGCTGATTGTAGACAATGCTCCTGGCCACCCTGCGGCACTCCGGTTTGCGCATAACGATGTTGAAGTAGTCTTTCTCCCCCCCAATACCACCTCCATCCTCCAACCTCTCGACCAAGGTGTGATTCGCTGTTTCAAGGCCACGTACACAAGGCTTATGTTCTCACGGATACGTAGAGCTGTGGAGGCTGATCCCAATCTTAATGTGATGGAGTCTTGGAAGGCCTTCAACATTGCCGATTGCATCACCTATATTAAACAGGCAATGAATGCAATCAAGCCTGAAACAGTCAATGCATGTTGGCGAAACCTATGGAAAGAATGTGTGAATGATTTTAAGGGTTTCCCGACCATTGACAAAGAAGTGAAACACATTGTTCAGGTGGCCAGGCAAGTGGGTGGTGATGGCTTCGTCCACATCCTTGAGGAAGAAACTGAAGAATTAACTGAGCGCCACAGAGAAACATTGACTAACGAAGAGTGAGAGGAACTGATAAAATCATCTACAGAAGACGAAGATGATGACGATGAACAGGAAGAGCCAGCAAGTTTGCTGAAGTGTTCCAAGCAGCGAAACACTTGAATGATTTAATTTCTGGATACGCTCCCTCTATGGAACGAAGCCTCAAAATCACACGTAGTATTACCGACGATTTGAGACCGTGTCAAGAAATGTTTGAGCAGCTCAAGAGACAATAGCAACAGCTGCCGATCACCATGTTTTTCAAGGGAAAACAACCAGCAGCAGATGAGCCTATGCAATCAACTTCTCAAGCTGAGCCAGAGCCAACCACTTCGTCTATGACTCGCTCTCTGTCACCCACGCTCTCCGTCACCTCTGTCTCCTGGATCGACATCAAGCCCCGACAACCCCCTGTAATTACCCCCTGTAATTAAAAATACAGTACCGCAAAATTATATTTGGCATATGTACTCTATTATATACTGTACATTACTGTATACATTATACATATTACTGTACAGGGTTGTATACACAAAACCATGTACAGTACACTATACTTTATGGGCGATTTAAGGGATTTTCAAGGGTAATTTTGATGATACACGATTTTTGCCTTATGCACTGACTTTAGAACCTAACCCCCACGTAAGATGCAACTCCACTGTACAGGGTAAAAAGGAGAAAGTAAGCCATTTTTCAGTAATATGCTGAAACACTTTTGTATTTTCATGTCTAATTTTGTAAGCAAGTTGTTTTAAGTGAGGTGAAGCTTGGGGGTACGCAAGACAAATCGGACTCCTGAAAGGGGTACAGTGGTCTAGAAAGGTTGAGAGCCCCTGGTCCAGTGCCTCGTACTCAGGAGGACCATACTCAGCACCACCACATACTGCACCTGAACCAAATGTGGGTCCCCGCAGCGCTGTCCCTCCCTGGCTCTGCCTGTTGCAAGGGGCTGGGGAGGACATCACAGGGCCCCACAGCCTCTCATCCTTCTCACTCGGATGTAGCCCAGACAGATTGAAAATGCTTGGAAGCCCTTAATACTTCCCATTCTGTATCTCAAGGCAGAACCCCCCTGCCACCACAGCTCCCTCTAGTGACAGCGAAGGCGCACTGCGAGCCCGAGGCTCCTAGCCAGCAATCAGCATCTGTGGGTTTGTGGTCAGTGAACAGGCCCGGTCAGCGCATGCTGAAGTGCATCCGCCTCCCTTTATTCGTGCTCTACAATGGGCTAGGGGCCTGAGGGGGAAAGCAGCACCACCTTTGATTTGTTCAGACAGGGAAGAGAAGGGATTATCTGATTAGGGGCCAACGTAAATGTCCAAAAAGTTCAAGCAATGTTCAGGCCCAGGTGAAAACGAGCCCACGGTGATGTGGGGGAGATAAGGGCCCTGGGCTGATTAAAGAAAAAGGCTCATTGTGCAAGAGAAATGAAGGGCAAATTGCTCTTTTATTTCCTGCTGGTGTCAGCTGGTGATGAATTAGGGCAGCCCCAGCAAGGAATACGTCTCCCAGCCGAAGGGCAACAGCCAGAAAGCATCTCTGGGGGGACGGTAATACAAATAAATAAATAAATAAATAATCACGTCTTTCCAAGGAGTCCGTCAGTGGGGCGAGAATTTGGTAGGGCTCAGCTCCACCGGGAGCCCTCACGAAGCCGCCATCGCTGACCTCGTTCTATTTTTAGCTCTCGGGTGGAAGAGGAAGCTGTGGGGCTGGTGCCATCAGCCGCCAGACAGGGTGGGAAATGTCACCCGAACTGGCACAGCTGCTTCCCTGCCCGCTGACAAACTGAATGGGGAGGAAGTGGAAGAAAGCTCTTTGCAAAAGATAAATTCAGCTTGCCACTAACGGGCCTTTCCATGGAGGCGGGGAGAGGGCTGGGGTGGGGAGGGGGGCAACTGCCAAGCTCAGTGCTTTGCGCTTGTTGCTCTCTGACTGATCTGAATTCGCAGGGTCACCACTGCGTTCTGTCTCTAGAGCCCGATTCTCGTTTGTATTAAGGCCCCTTTGCATGACTCTCGCAGCGGCCTGAGTGGTAGGAAGGTAAGTTACAGCCCCTTTCCGCTGCCAGAGCCAGTCAGTGAATGCTGCCAGTTAGTGTAAAGGAGACGGCGGCCCTAGGAATACGAAGTCAGGCTGGCTGCCTGAAATCAAGACCGATTCTACTGGCACCGAAAGGGACTCTGTCTGAACAGCTTAATACAGAGCCCAGACAGGACAAGGAAAGTAATACAGCCGTTACTCCTTATGAAGATCCGCTGTAACACATCCTACAGGCTTAATAATCTCCCAGCTACTTATCTTTGGAGAACAGGACACAGAGGGACAGAGATGGGTTTACCTAACCCACTGGGAGGGCAAATCTAATAGAAAAGGCAGGACTGCACAAGTGTCTCAGCTTTCCTCAGTGCAAAAGGGCCACCATTCAGACAGCTCACCTCCTCCGGCCTTCCCTTCCTAGAAGGTGTTGGGGCCATTGCCAGATTCAGCCAGACCCTGCAAGGTTTTTAGCGTCCTCAGTCCACGTCGTGTTCAGTGGGAGTGAAGGACGCTCAGCGTTGCATCCTTCCATGCCTGCTGGAGCACATTCTCACTAGGAAACAATCTGGCCCAAGTCTCGTGTCTTCTGTATTTTTCTTGGCTCACGGCACAGGATCTCTCTTTCTTCAGACTACGCAGAGTTAAGAGAGGGAAGACAATTGTTAATGCCTCCATTCCTTCCCCTGCAGGGGGAAGATTGCTCCCTACAGAACAAGTCCAGTGCTTCATCCTACCAAGGCTGAACTACCTCAGCGAGATCCTTGGCTCCCTTTGGTAGGCTCTTCCCCAGCTAGTGACCTTAGTGCTAGGAAAGTTGCTCGGCTTCCTAGCCTTCTCTTCCTTCTTATTGCAAGCAAGTCTGTTCTGAACCCCCGCTCCCCCGCCACAATTCCTCTCCCTCCTCAGACTGCCATGTCTGGGACTTTACGAGACTGATGCATAAGTGAAAGCCATGACAGCCACAGATCACCAACCAATTCCCTCTTCCCACCGCTCCCCCCTTTCTGCAAAGCACACAGCTGCTGTTGCCCCATTTCTTGGAAGCCACACAGAATGCCACTCCATCCCAGCCGGCTTCGTCGTGGCTACCGCATTGCTCGTTAGTCCAGGCTAAACGTACTACAGCAAATTCTCTCCTGGTGTGAGCTGGTGCAGCTCCCATAGTGCTGTGCCAGTCGACACCAGCAGGAAATTTAGCCTGTTTTAGCTCTTCCCATGCCCCACTTCGTTCAGCCCCTTCAACCACCTGATCATTCTCTTTCTTTTATCTACTCCTTCCAATTTATTTTCAGTTGTACTGGCCAGGGGCACCCCAGGAGTAACCCCATGCGGTGAACAAATGAAACCTGCCAGTCACACTTTGCAAGATTGGGAAGTTGGGAGGGCGGGGGGGGGGGAAGAGTCTTTGGGTTTATTTATCAAAGGTTTATATGCTCCCTTCCCCCACTCTGCCAGCAAGCTCAAAGGCCAGAGGGTCTCCAGAAGCCTGGCGGAGGGGAGCAGTGGCCACGTAGTGAAGATCTGTCGGGGACCAGGAGGAGGCAGGGCCTGCCAGAGGATGGGGAAGAGTCACGGAACAGTCACTCTACATGACATTTCCCTGCTGGAGCCACAGTAACCTACAGCCAGGTGTGCATGAGTTACTGATCCTTCCCAGAGGCCAGGAGCTGAGGAGCTCACGTATAAGGGGCGCTGTGAACCCTCATGACTGGGAGCAGCGCGTGCTCCCTGCAGGCCTGGCACTGCAGGAGGAGGAGTGGCCACGGCCCTGCGCCCCCTCCTTGGGTCCCCTAGAGCTGCTAGAAGCGTGCACACTTCCCCCACACCTCAGCTGTGCTCTGGGGACACAAAGTGTAGGCCTTTGGCTGCCAGCGAGGCAGGAGTGCCAGTGGGGAGAAGGGGAGGGCTTACTCCACCTGGCCACCTTGACCACCTGGGCAAGAGCATCCCCCGCAGCAGCGAACTAAAGTAGTTCTGCCCCACCCCATCAGCTGGGTCAGGTCACAGGATCTCGCACCCCTGCCCCATAACCCATAACTGGGAGGCACTGCTGCTGCAGGGCAGGGCTGGGGAAAGAGACCTGCTACCCTGCCTGCCTCCAAACAAAGCCCCTCTGGATGCAGATGTCCGATGTTTCCCAGGACTCCCAAGCACTGGAGCTGGGTTTTTTGCTTTGGAGAGCGGGCCCATACCCGTACTGACAGGTGAGTTGTTTTTAGGCTCTGGGAGTGACTTTAGCAGACCTGCATTAGAGAGGGTGATGACAGTAGCAGTTATACAGGTGACTAGGTTTCACCTGTAAGGGGGGGCAAAGGGGATGCTTTAATTTAGGGTATGCCAAGGAAAAGCACCTTCTCTTTATTAACCTCTGATCTCTGCTCATTCCCCCGCACCGAGTGAGCTGCAGCCAGTCCTGTAGGTAGAACAGCTGCCACAAGCCGTCCATGCCCAGAGTCACCCTGAGCTCTCGCTTTGCTGTCACTGACGCTGCTAAGCAGGGGCTGGTGTTTGTAACTAATGGCCCTTCCTGAAAACACACTGCAGAGATGTGTTTTCTCTCTGGTGGCATTATGAGCAGCGCCTCTCCCCAGGTGCCCTCTTCTTGACTAGACCACAATTAACTCTTGGCCTCAGGCTATAAATCAAGTCAATAAAAGGGTCTGTAAAATAAACACAAACGGGCCTTCCCCTTTCCATTCAGATGTAGTGAAGTGGCAAAGTCCCTTCTTCTCTGCACAGCGTAGAGCCCTCGTGCTTCACTGGCCTCCGGAGAGGAGCTCCAAGGTGCTCGGATATTAATACCGGTGACCAGGTCACCGGGATGCTGGTGGCATTCAGGGGAGCATGCAGTGGCTCAGAGGTCATTGCAAGGTCACTTCTGGAGTTTGCATGGAGCAGGCAGGTCGCGTTTCCAGCTCATGACATGGCTCAGGAAACTCCAGGACTGAGCCACAAAGAGGCTTGAAGAGGGGTTATAGAAGCAATGTTATTTTTGTATTCCGTGGCCTGGCCTACCAAAATATAAGACATAAATTTCATCCGAATGACCCAAGCGTCACCACATCGCTTCTCATATTAACAGAGTGAGGACAGCAGCTCTGTAGCTTCCGAGACAAATTCTGCTCTTCAGAGCCACGGGGGTTACAGCTCAGTCTGGGCCTTTGCACTTAATATTAAATGAAACCAGGAGAGTTGTGATTCTTTTTCAGACCTGGGGAGGAGAATGGCAGGTCTACACCCAGCATTATTATTTGTATTACAGTAGTGGCTAGAGACTCCAATGGGGATGAGGGCTCCATTGTGCCAGGTGCTGTATAAGCACCTAGTGAGCGAGTCACAGTCTAAACCAGGGGTTTTCAACCAGTGGTCCCTGAACTCTTGGAGGTCCGCAGACTATGTCTAAGATTTCCAAAGGGGTCTGCACCTCCATTTGAAATTTTTAGGGGTCTGCAAATGATAAAAGGTTGATCTACATAGGTGAGACAAAGGGTGGAAGAGAAAACAGAGGCACAGAGCAGTGACGTGACCCATCCAAGGCTTGTGGCAAAGGCAGCTTTCAAATCCAGGTCTCCTGGCCCAGAGCCTTATCCACTTGGCCACGCAGTAGGCTACAGGGTTGCCAGCTGGACCCACCTACCTAGCAAGCAATATCCATCCAGCTTCATCTCCCCCTAAAATAAAGTCACACACAGTGAAACGTACACAGTACTCCCATGCCTTCTGCATGCACCCCTGTGTTAACAACCACTTGAATTATCAGTCAACCCAAACTGTACTGGTAAAGATCTTTCTTACCAGGTGACCAATTTTTGCTTGTCTGCTGCCTGGGTGCTTAGACATATGGCACAGCATGTCGTCAGACAAGTGAAAAAACATGAGGTAGGTATAGGGAAGGGACATTAGAACTACCCAGTGCCTCTGGCATGGTGTCCCTGAAGGAAGTTGCTGTCATTTATCCGAGGGCGTGTTAAACAAAGTCCTCCCTGGCTTTGCATTTATGTCTTTCCACTGACTTACCCCCACCTGACACCTGGGCAAGCGAGAGGACAATCAGACTCCGTGAGACTCCCGGGATACAATGGAAGGGCACCAACAGTGAAACGCTCACACCGAATCTCAGCTGCAGCCCTGGCAGGTGGACACTTGTCTTCTCGCTGCCTCATCACACGTGGCAGCTCTGATGCTGCATTGGTGTTGGCCACGAAATGAAGCCAGCATGACTGAAGGCATCGTCACTGGTGTCTTGAGTCCATCTCAACCCAGCCCTGGCAGATGGTGCTTCTCAGCCTCTCTCCATTTGTTCGAAACGCCAAGGGTTTTCTTACTCTGCTATCACATGCAGGTTCCCTACCTCGAAGTGCTAGGAATTCACTGGTTTCTTTCATAATATAGTGAATGCTGTCTGCAACAACATCTCCAATGTATTTTACTTCATGCCAATCTATCACCTCTTGTCATTATGACTGGGTTAATCTTATTCCTTTCCTCTAGTCACTTCTGGTGTCGTCACTGATTTTATCCTTTCCACAAAGGACAACATTTTATGCCTCAGTCCTATTCCCCTCTTGCCTTGCCTCATTCTTTACCCCCAACATCACAGTCTCACCACCCACTGCCTTATCTCCAAATTTTTCTTCTCCTAGAAAAAACTTGGAAAAGGGGGTTTCTTATCTCACTCTCAAAATCACCTCTTTGATCATTTCTAGTGTAGCTTCGGTCCCCTTTCAGAACACTTCCCATCTCCATATGGCCATAGATCTCCTTTCATCTGATCAGGCCTCCTTTTGGGTCTCCTCATCTTTGACCTGCGTATTTGCTCCTATCCACCCTGACATCCTCCTGGGTTGCCCAGCACAGCTGTGAGGAGTCTCAGCTTGGATGTAGTGAAACTGGAAAAGCAAAATGCCTCAGTTTTGTTGACTAGAAATAGTGACACTTCTGTCACTAGCCCCCATCATCACTGTGGTGACTCCCAAGGTGCCACCTGTGGCCCGCTTTTCTTTACATCTCAGTCACATTTGTGAACTCAGAGTTTTACTTCTGTGCAGGTGGTATTCAAATCTGTAGGCCCTTCGTTGGTTCACTTCTATCTCCACTCATAAAGGAACCTGTTCTTTTCCCGCTACCTTCTCCTTAAATCCCATCTCTCCACACTTCAGATTGTGGTAGCGGATCTTCTCTCAGCACACCCAGAGGCAGGGAGACACCATCTTCATTCTCAGAAATCACTGCTGGCTCCCTGAAAACAGTACAAATCCTCCGTCTTTAAGGAACCTCCCCTTACATTTCTGACATCGTCTCTTCCTACTGTTCAGCCCACTCCCTACACTCCTGGAATGGCAGATGCACTTTTCCCTCTCTCTCTCTCCACGCTGGGGGAATAGATCTTTCCTCCAGGTTCTGCCAACTAGGTGATACGGCAATCCTGCCTTTTTGGTCCTAACTCCTACCATAACTCCAGACACAGTACATATGATACCAAATACTGACCACTCTGAGGGCTGGAAGTTATTTTATGATAACAAAGGACAATGTTAAAAAAATACAGAGAGTGTTGTCTTAGATCTGCTGGTTACTAAATACCCCTTAGGTTCTGAGGAAATAAAGTATTTCCACCTGGAGCCTGAACAG